GCATCCTGGGGTGCATCAAGCACAGCATAACCAGCCGGTCAAAAGAGGTGATTGTCCCGCTGTATTCAGCATTGGTGCGGCCTCACCTTGAGTGCTGGGTGCAGTTCCGGGCCCCACAATTTAAGAAGGACGTGAAGGTCCTTGAATGCCTCCAGAGGAGGGCAACAAAGCTGGTGAAAGGGCTGGAAGGCATGCCCTGTGAGGAGCGGCTGAGGACTGTGGGCTTGTCTAGTTTGGAGAAAAGGAGGCTGAGGGGCGACCTCATTGCTCTCTACAGCTTCCTGAGGAGGGGACATGGAGAGGGAGGTGCTGAGCTCTTCTCCCTGGTGCCCAGGGGAGGTTTAGACTGGACATTAGGAAGCATTTCTGTACCAAGAGGGTGGTCAAACACTGGAACAGGCTTCCTAGAGAGGTGGTCGATGCCCCAAGCCTGTCAGTGTTCGAGAGGCATTTGGACAATGCCTTTAACAACAAGCTTTAACTTTTGGTCAGCCCTGAATTGGTCAGGCAGTTGAACTAGATGATCATTGTAGGTCCCTTCCAACTGGAACTATTCTATTCTAGTTTACAGCTCCAATCTTAAGATGAATTACTGATTAAACTTTGGAGACTTTATAGTTTCTGTTATTATTAAATTTCACAGATGGAATACTGTCTTTAAGTCCTGTGTTGCAAATTAAGCAATCCAAATTGTTTCTTTTCACATGACATGTCCAAATCCTGGAAAGACCTGTCACTAGCATGAAACAAAATGAAATGTGTTTAAAATATTTTTTCTGTAATGTCAGCCATGTAGTGTCTCTGAAAATGCAATTATGCAGCCATTTATAGTAGTGTTTATCTGGATTTTACTTACTTGACCAGACCATTTCAATTCACAGCAATTCAAGCATCAGGGATGCACTGAACCCATATTTGGTATATTAGTTAGAAACTTGCTTAGATGGGACAAAATTGGACAATCTTCATAATTTATAGTATCTCACTTTGTTTTTCACTATCTACAAACTAGTCAACCTAATTAAGAAGCTGTACTAATGTATAAGTACATTCAAAAGAGCAACAATCTTTTTAAAGTATCTATTCTACCATTTAATAAGTATTTCTACTATGGAAGTAAAACCTTTGCGTCTACAAGCTGGGAAAAATATATAGTCGGCTTAACTTGCATGTATTTTTACAATTGAATTGCTCCATAAAGCACATTGTAGTATTTAAGTTTTTTTTCCTTCTGCTACAGTCTTATGAGAAATTGTGAATTTTCCTATTAAAATCATTTTTTCATGTACATGTGTGTTAAACCAGTAAGTCGGTCCCTTTTAGGAAAAAAAAACCACATGTCATTTAAAGTAAGTGATAATTGGAGTCTTCTGTTTACCATGGACCACACTACAGATACATTAGTGGGCCAATTCAGTCGTCCCACTCACTGTCACTCTGGAGTAAAGGAAACTGCATATTTGAAACATCGGTTCAAAAATCATTCATGATCTTGCAACTGACAACTGCAGTAACTTTATTTATTAATGCAATTGCCACAGTGGCATTTTGCAGTTTGATTCTAACCACAAAGATCAAGACTGAAGCCACAAAATAATTTCTAACAGTCTCTGACACTTGTCAAACAACATCCATCAATATTGAATTACACAACATAAAACTTGCAACTTCCAATTGAAATACTCTGTCTTCCCAGCGAATTCAGTTACATTTGACTCTCTACACAGGAATTATTCTACTCTGAAGATATGCTGGGTAAAGTTAAATTTTGTCCAAGAATTTTTGTAAAAACATATTTAACCAACAACTTTCATGAAATATCATTAGAAGTAATTTTAAATTACAAAACTAACATAATACAGACAAAATACATGAATTATCTAGAGCTGAAACGAATAAAATTTTTGCTTCCAGATCTCACCTAACATTGTCCTGAGCACTTGCTCAAGATTTAAAAGGACAATATCTAAAGCAAATCAGGGCACAATATTAAAACACAGAAGCCAAACAAGCCTCTCAAAAAACTGACAAAGATAGACCTCAATACTCACCCATCATTAGAACATGTCAAAAATTCTTCCTTTATTTTTGGATGCCAACAGCCTGAATTGAGCATTGCTGTGTGACCCTAAGGAAATAAACACAAGGAGGTCTTACAAGGTTTTGTAAGATGTTTTACAAGATTTTATATATTTTACTCCAAATCCTTCAGGTGGAGTCACATGAAAGCTGAGGGCCGAATCAGACTCTTCTAACCACAGCAATGGCTGGCTGACTTCACAATGATTTAACAGATCTAATCCATTTCATGCTTGCTTGTTTTCATTTTTGAATTACAAAAAGCCTGTCATTCTTCTATTTGTATTTTTTCTTTCAGAAAATGGCATGGAATCATACTTCCCTTTTTTCTCTTGGGAGGACTATAATGCAGAGAAAGGATGAAACAATAGGCATCAATATGGTGTCATGCAAATTGTTCCAAGCTACACAAAAATAACAGGAATTACAAGAATTACCAGGGTGACACAATATACATACTCAGTGCGAAACTACACTAGCCAAAGACCTTGTTGGTCTGAGGAAACAGAATTCGAGAGTCAAGATGGATTTAACCTCATGTGAGTTTTTCATAAAATATTAGAAGCTGCAAATTGAGTAGTCAGCCCTGTTTCTTTAGGATGGAAAAAACAGAAGGTAAGGATTTTATCCAAAGTGAGCAATTGCCATTATATGGTGACTATGAATATATATTGTCCAGTTGGCTTTACTTCTTTGAAGTACAGGCACATGCTCATTGACTACATTCAAACAGAAATTTGGAAACTACTGCAACGCTGGAATTACTTCAGTTTGCTTTAAGCACAAATATGGAGAGAAATACTGAAAAGTTAATGGGGCGATATAACAAATATTTTAGCATTTCAACTGTTGGACCACAATACACTGTAATTCTAGATGTTTACAAGAGAGAGAAAATCTGAATTATTTTTAAGTAAACAAGAACTAAAGCAGATGTTACTATTTGATGGCTTTATATACATATCACTAGCCAAAAGAAATAGTCATCTGACAAGAACAGCTTTAGGCAAAACAGCATTTAGCCTAGTATATTTGGCAATATACTTTACAAGCAATAAATAAATCAACTTTATCATCAGTTTGAGGAGTAGATTTTGTTATTACTTTTTAGGCTTAAGCTATTTAAAAAACTGACCTTAATTTAAATCATCTATGTAACAGAATCGTTGTCTCACACAGTTTGTGGAAATACGAAGGCAAAGTGGTCAAAACCCAATCAACGGTTGTTAAAATACTTCAAAACTATGAATCAGCCCTTCTTCATTTGCATTTTTAACTACCATTAAAAATGTACACATTGTTGCTTATTAGTTACTTGTATGCCATGCGTGCAAGACAATAATAACAACCTCCAATGCCTGCCTTGAAAGAGGTAAATGATATCAGCAAAAGAATGGAGGGTAGAAGAAAGCAAGAGACTAGACAGATCAATAGTTTCTAATATTTTTGGGGGGTTAGTTGGACAAGGATATGGAGGAAGCTCACAATTTTTACAAGATACACTTTTAAATAGATGAATTTGTTGTAGTATCATAGAAACGTTAGTTGGAAGAGACCTCTTGAGTTCACCTAGGTCAACTTCCCGCTCAAAGCCAGATTATAGCCAACACCAGATCAGGTCAGCCATGGCTTTGCCTAGCTGGGTCTTGAAAACCTCCATGGATGAAGGTACCACAACTTCCAGCATGTATCAATACATGGGACTATCGTTTCCAAGAGACAGGGCTTGCATTCTTCCTTACTGAACTTCATGAGGTTTCTTGTCAAGAGAAAAAATACTGTCTTCTGGCATTCAATTAATTTCTGACTTACCTTTGTGTTTGTCATGTCCACAATGTATTGGTCTCCTTTTATGCATTCCATTACTGGGAAGCCATCTCTGTCAAGAACTTTTGCCTGAGAGTTACCAGAGACAACGAGAATGACATCTCCTGTGCTGCTATACTGTAAAGATTTGATTTGGTGACTAAAAAGAAAAGAAAAAGAAATAAAATGTTTCAATTGACTTCAGTTCCTGTAAGTCTACCCTAAAACAGAAAAGCCAATGGTGAGAAAACGTATTGCAGAAATAGACCCATACACATTCCTATACCAAAAAGGTGGGAAGAAAACAGATCTGAGATTAATGGATTAGAGCTTTTTATTCCTCTGTGTGTGTGTGTGTCACATTTCCTTCTTCAACCACACAGCACATCAAACAATATTATTTACAAAGTTGGCACGTAAAATGTCATTTCTGGCAAACATATTTAAGAATGCTCTTAAAACTCCAAGTGAAAAATAGTATGTGTCAGATTCAGCTCTTCAGGGCTGAAAATTCTTTTTCATCTTCTCAAAAGCAACACGTGGATTTACAGTAATCTATAAATTACTACAGAAGGATGTCGTAGTCCTACATAAAGCTCCACTGTACATTGTACACCAGGAAATTTGTCGTATATCAGCATTCTTGCATCTTTTTCTATGTTCAGGGCTACAGTTTCATCAGAATCTTAGATAAGTTAAATATACCATCAACCCTGGAAACATGACAGTAGATAACAATCTGCCTAGTCTACTATGCCTTAGATGATTGGTCGTTTGCTGTAAACGTTTTCTTACATACGTCTTCTATTGATTGAGAAAACCTGGAACAGAAATCATGGACTAATACCAAAACGACAAAAATTATTGACTGAAAGTGGGAAGACGGCTGATGAGTGAGAAATCCATTTCCAGCTTCAGATTCTTCTCTCAGCATTCTGCTTTATGAACAAAGTTCACTGCAATTGCTGTATCTGAAGCAGATAACCCTTTGATCCCCTACCCAGCCATACTCCATTACAAGGACGGCAAAGAACACAAAGCAGTCTATCCACTCCACACCTGTCAGAATTTATATGCCGGCACATTAACAGAACATGCACAATAACATCACTTTATATTAATGCTTCAGCTCTGCAACTAAATTAACTGCAAATTAAGGACTGGAATGCATTTGCCAGCTAGATTTGGATTCCCATGGCATCCAAACTGTCCTCAAAGGAGTATCTTCCTTTTGGTGAAGAACATAACCATGTGCATTCAAATCCCAGTAACTTTAAGGAAACTACTTCTAACACAATTTCACATCAGTAAAATTAACACTCAGATAATCAAAACTGACTATGCAACTTGTAATTTAATAATTTAACATTTCACATCTTATATGGTAGTGACTTCATGACTGACTCAGCAGTGGCTATTATCTGTTAAATCTGTCTTCAAACTGTACGTTACTACACAAAACAAGTAAAACATTGTAATACATATTTTAAAAGTTCTGCATTGATCATAGTAATGTAAACTAAGCATGAGTTTCTCATTCAAAAGATGTTTGGCAAGACTGATTACATTATGATTCAAAAGCCAGACTGCTTCAAGCATCCTATTATGTAATACAAACTGGCAGCCAAATTGGCCGAAGTGTTATAAACTCTGATTTTTAGTAGAAAGGAGACACTCAAATCTGGGAATTTCCAAAATAGATCACAGGCAATGTCTGAAAAAGCATCCTGAGCCTCAAGAGCAAAAATGGATACTTGCTCAGAAGAGGAGAAGGAAGGCCAGTCACATTAAGCTCAGAGGAAACACTGAAAAAATTAAAAAGAAATCCACAAGAGTAGAATATTCTCTGCAGGCAGCTGATAAACCTAGACTAAAGAATCCATCAGATTCAGCTTTAGAGCAACACTCACGTCTTCAGAATTAAAAAACCTTCCCCAGTTGTACTTCTAAGTGCTCTTGCCGCATCACATGATTCGTACAAAGCTCAAAATATTCCTGAGCCCTACCTGAGTACTGCATGCAGAATGAAATACTTATCTAGTTATATTCCTCACACTCTAATGCTGAAATTGTCAGAAGAAAATACCCATCTCCAAAGCATAGATTCGTGTTTTGCACTTTTTATTGTTGAAATGTAAGAACCAAAATTAAACATTTAAAAACTGCACTAAAAGATAATTTTTTGATTGATTTGGCCACTAGATAGGATCGAACAGCTTGCCCAGAAGTAAAATCTGATTTTTGTGAGAATCCACAATATGTAAAGGCCCACAGAGTCTTCCGAGAAAACTGTTTTTCAGACACTGAAGTACTGAAATTAAAACCGCAGACATTAATACTGTTCACATGGCACAGTTCATAATTTGACCAATATTGTCTCATTGCTTCTTTGTAGTTCTGTATCAGCGTGTTTGAACGAACTTTGTTTTCATCTTAGATTTAGATTTGAAGTTTCTTCTAACAAGGAAAAGCTCCTGATTTTACAGCACTTAGCACAATGGGAAGATAACTGATAATTCATCAAATCAGTCATGTGAAAAAATTAGTCTGAGAGAAAAGATTTCCACAACCTTTACCTAAAGGAAAAAAAAAACCCAAAACCTTTTGTGACTGTGCAATACAGCTTTTAAAATCATGTCGAAAAATTGGTTCTATAAGCAGGGCATTTGCAAAGCCCCAGAAGTTACCGCTTTTCAGCTGTTTATTGGAGTATGACCAAGAGCGAGGCTCTGCAGAGGCAGTTCTTAAAGAAAACATTTTTGGTTCTTATTAATGTTAAAGCAAAAGTCTTGGGAAACTTACAAAAACAGTTCCCTTTAATAGCATTAATCCAAGTCATTTTGGTTTAAATCTGCCAAATGTTCATAGTACTTTCTGCCAGGACCTGCAGAACAGAGCTACATACATGGGGAGAATCATGACACACAAATAATTTCTGCACATGTAACACAGCTTTGCCTTACCCTTGCCTTTGCCTTTAACACCAAGGTGTGGTTTGAAGGTACTAGTTTTCTGCCAGGCTCTTTTTTTTTCCCTCCCCTTACATCCCAAATCCAAGGAGAAATTAACAGAGTAACCTGATACTATGCTACAAAATGGAGTCTGGACAACACAGAATTGTTCTCAGGCTTTTTTATTCTTAAAATGAAATTAAATTTATGGCTCCAGAACTGGATTTCTGCTAACACCTAAAGCTGCCATACCAGCACTCTTCAGAATTCTTTGAAATTAAGGTCTGTGAATGCTAATAGTCCTTGCAATAAATTCCATAGTGAAAAAAATAATGTAAGAATATATATACACCTGGGCCTAAGTTATATAATATTCCACATAGTGCTCACCAGCATGCCTCAGTGTCAGCATGAAATAACTGTTTCTTAAGTTTGGATCTTGTTACTAGACAGAGCTATAGTTCCAGTTTTATGTTTACAAAAAGATACAGAAGGGGTATTTAAATAATGTATTTTTAAAAACCCAAAATTAGTACATGAGACTTGCAACAAGCAAAATTCCCAGACTTTTCATCAGTAAATTGTATTTTTAATATTTTTTTTTATTTTTATGTATTTCATTTATACTTCAACATACTCAAACAACAAGAATGTACATTTCACCAAGAACATTCATATAAAATTACTTATGAGATACTTATAACACACTAAATGAACAGTGTCAGGGATAACAAGCACTTTAAGCTCAAATTTCACCATCAGTTCTTGCCAAAAGAAGGTTACAAATGTATTTGCAAGCTGTTTTCCTTGAAATGGGACAGTAATGCACACTGTACTTGTAGTTTTTATACTATATTTACATCTTATACCATTATTACCAAGTACTACTAAATTTGAATGCATTCTTCTGCTCAATTTGGAAATGCTTCAGTTAAAATAATCTCCTACTGTGGGAGTAAAGATTGTCAGCTCTTTCTTACTGCTCAGTTATGACAGAGGAGAGGAAAATACCATTTGTATCCTGCTAACTAATCATGTAAATGAAACTCATGCCAGAAAAGTCTGAATGTGACTTGACATTTGGATAATTTTATTTATTTATTTATTTCAAAGCAGCATGTTTACTAAGTTATGTTTTCAAAGTAAATGTGCCAATTCATCAGTTTATTATAACAAGATAAGTCTGTCAGAGAGATTAGAATTGCATAACGAATCAAAGCACTCTTTTTATTTTCCTGATTTTTCACAGTTCAGGACATCAGTAGAACCCCTTTCCATTTTGCTCCTTTTCAGGCTAACAGCCCCAACTTTTTGTCGTCTTTCATTACCTAGATTCTTGGCACATCTGTAATTAGTCATACACATTCTAACCTTCCAAACTGCTCAAACTTCAGCTGCAGCTTTTTAAGACAATAATGATTAAAAATAGACATTCTAAGGACTACTTACTGCACATGATAAATTTCAATCCCTTTTTTAAGCATACCAAAGTATCTTATAAAGTGCACCTAATTAGTTAGACATTAGAAAGTACCTTGCTAGAAAAACTGTGTTATTAATTTATGAATGTGTTTATCTGAAAGTTTGTTGTGCATGAGACATACGCTCCTTTTGAACAAGCTCTGTATTCTAATTCTCTGCAGCAAGTAAATTAACTCAGTTCATTCACTTGCTGAATTACCAGTGAACAGTATGGATAGTATGGAAATCACTCTCTAAAAAATGCTTCCTGGATTTTTTTTTTTAATTTACATATATATAAATGATAAATGTAAATAAATATATAACTTTTTTTCTTTAAAAAAGGCAATAGACTTACACTTTTTTTAATGCACACTATGTAGCTATTCAATTATCAGCGCAATGCAAAGGACCAGTGCTTCCAGAAACAGAGGATTTAATGAAAATTAGATACACCCCCACTCAAAAATACCGGCAGCAGCTACAGAGGCTCTCTACAAAGGGGTCAACTGTTTTAACTTTCTTCTCTTCTTCATTTATTTTATATAAGCAGAGCACATATGGAAAGTGTATTCTATTAATTTCGATTACAACTATGAAAGTCAACGTGTCTCTGAGAGGTTCATAACCGATTTGCGGACACGCTATTTGCTGACACACTATTAACAATTTCATCTGCAAATTCACCTGTAGCTTTCTAAAAGGGGAAAATAAGCAAGTCGTCAGAAAAAGCATGAGAAGACATAAGCAGACAAGTTCTCAGATTCATATTCCCATTCCATTTACCACAAAAAGTATAATGGGATACAAAAGCCTTTTAAACAAGCTATCTTACAAGGCTTTTGTGCATTCTGTTAGGAGCTTAACATAGGCACAGTCTTAGGTGAAAAAGGCAAGTCTTCATGCCTACCATTCACAAGGCTGGAGTGATCGAAAAGCTTGGAGAGAGGCATCCATTCCAGCAAAATCCCAAAATTTAACATCATAGTCGTAGCCACCAGTTATCAAACGGGCACCTGAAGGATCCAACCCCAAAGCAGAAACCTATACAGAGGAAAAAAAAATATTAAAAAAATTAAGATCATTCAAGCTTTTTATTTTTTTTTCCTACAGTTCTTCAGCTGTCACCAAAATATAAAATACTACTAAAGTAAAAAAAAATATTTCAGGGTGCTAATTTCTTCATAAAATACATCATCTATATTTTGTTTTTGAATTTTCACTACCTTCTATAATGTCTGAGTACTTTGGAAGGGGTAGGGAGCACGGAAATGGAGATTTCATGATTTGAATAAACCACTGAAGACAGCTGATAAAAGTTACAGTGTTTGCTTTCTAATCATCTCATTGCAGAATCTGGATATGTTTCATTTCTATGAAGAAAATGGTACTCCAGACTTTTCTAGCAAGATACTGAAATGGCATTTAACATCCATCAGTTTTAAGATTTTGCACTAGTTTATTCAAGACAGTTCATGTACGTACATACATTTCTCTTCTGAAAAAAGAAAAGAAAAAATAAAGTATCAACTTGATTTAAAAAAAAAAAATCACACATTTAAAAAAAGATACTATTTTAACTAAAAAAGCTCAAAAAACCTTTACAAAAAACATTTGTTTTATATACAAAACTAGCTACTTAAAGCTACTCGGAACTTTGAGGAAAGAATGCTTAATGCTCACTACTTCTCATTTGTTATCCTCAAATCAAAGGTTGTTTAAAATGGGATTTTTAGTGAAAATCCTATTTTAATTCTCTATTTGAAGAACTTTATTACAGTAGTGTTCAAATCATCATATGGAGAAGTGAGAGTAACAGAAAGCATCTCTGATAAAATATCCTTTCATTTACCTTCAAAATTATTTCTTCTCTTTTCTCATTTGTGAAAATATTATCTACTACTATCATTTCAAGTTTCAATACAAGATTAGCTAGACAATGTGCTAAATTAATTTGTAAGTCAAGTAAAGAGATTAACTCTCCAAAATTAAGTCATCTACATGAGATAGTGTTGAAAAGTGATGTCAAAAACTGTAAAACAAGAATATTTTTAGAATTACTCAAAATTACATGAAATGTTAAGATGACTGAGAAGGTTTTCATGAGAAGATAAAACACATACGGAATTCATGCTTAGGTTTTAACCCCTAGAACACAATTTAACCTCTATTAGGCATTTCAGGTTAGACAGACCATGGGTAAAACCTCGCCTCTAACCAGAGGATAAGTTTTAACCATTGGACAAAAACCTGGGCCATCCCACATACATAAGATAGATCATCAGATCACCAGATTCAGAAACCCATTTACAACAAGGAAGACAGTCTTCAACACAAGAAAATAAAGTAATAATAATAATACAAGTTCTAGAAAGTGCCTGGAAAGGGATTTGAAGAGATGAGCCAGAAAATTCTGAAGGAAAAAAAAAATAATGTTATACTCAACCAAGAACATTCAGACTTACAGAAAATTGGGTGGGAAAAAAACAACCAAACAAAAAAAACTGTAGACACAATAAAAGAAGGAAATGCCTTAATTTCTGAGTGAAAGATAATACTTGAGAATAGTGTCATGGCTATAGGCTACCAACGCTGAACTTCTTTGGGGGAAAAAAAACCAAAAAACCAGGCCAATTACTTTCAGATGCATAAACCTGTATTAAAAATTCCAGATATTGATGTATAAAAATTACAATAATTTGCATATAAGGATGCTCGTCCATGTGTATCTTCTTTGCACGTATACTCGAAAAGTACTGACAGTCACTGATTTAATGCAGACACATAGAAGTAACACCAAAAAACCTTGTCTCAAAGATATATCAGTCTACTACTGTACTTTTTTTTAAAGCTTTAGTATATACACTGTGTTACGGAGACTTTTAAAACTTGTGTAAACTGTTGAATAGTTCTCACACAAAACACTGTTTAAAAAATGGAATTTAGCATGAGATATTCCCTTTTTTAACTGGGCATGGAAAAGTAACCTACAGAAAATAAATGTTTCAATAAAAACACCAGTTATGAATGGAATTTATTCTTTAAGTTTAAGATGGACAATTTGTTTTGCTAAAATTAAGGTTTCATTATATGAAAGAGCATGGGCTTCTTTTGAGTTTTCTTTTTCCAGTTTCATGTAGAAAAGGTTCACCTAGGTATTCCTTATTTTATCAAAGACTCATTTCTAGTCATCTTCTCCTTAAGGCTCGCATTGCTCCTCATGCTGGTACCTCACTGTACAGTGCCATCATATAGCCAACAGTTTGAAAAAAGTACTTTCAAGAAAACCAAGACGTTGCAGAAATGCTGCTGCTGTTCACCAGGCAACTGACTCCTTAATCTAATTGTCCTGCTTTATTTTAGAGGCATTCACTTGCAGAAACCTTATCTTTTAGAGAAGGTCTAAAATCTCATTCTTCTAAAGAATGCAAAGGATGATCAGATGTCCTAATCCAGCACCCCCCCAAAAAAACGATTTACAGAGTTACTAATAGATTCAGTATTTTTTCTTTTTAATTCCCTGAATCAAATGTTTAAATGTCTGCTTTGTGCTATCCCTAAGAATGAATTAAACTCCACTTAGTGATTATGTCACTGTGACATATTTGATTTTCAAATGAAACAGATGCAACCTCTTACATGTTTAAAAAAAAAATGGCCCTTTTACCATTTAAATGCAAATTTTGAACCCCATTCATTTCATTCATGATTTCTAGCATGCAGAAAAACTGGGCATCTCCAGATTAATCATGCATTCAATTAATAGACTCGGGTGTTCTATGCTACAATAACTACTATAGGAAGGAGTAGCTGTAATATGAGACATTAGAAAGCACACTGTTCAGAATACATCCAATTATGTATTGTTTCTCATACTCACCTATGTATCAAAAGTGTCAGGAGAAAAAAATAAATAAATATATCCCTGAAGTTTCATTGGGAACAGCAACTCCTATTACACTGTACAAGCAAGGCAACCAGGAAATTAATCAGGTATCTGGAAAGACTCTCCAGCTTGGGAAATCTTTTCTCAGACTTTTCAGCTGCACAGCAATAGAGTCATCATCAAACCCACGTTCATTAGACTGAAGAGGTACAGATGGGATACATAAGTTTAGATGAAATACAGTACACTATATGAACATAATGAGAAGACTGTATTTTAAAATGTTGGGGTGACGCACTGATATCAAGATACAAATTTGTCCCCATCCTTGTATGTGTGTAATGACATGGGTAAGTAATTTCATTATTTTAAAACAAACAAATAAAACAAAGATAGTCCTTCTACAGAAGAGCTGTTTTTTTTCAATGATCTGTTTCATTCACTGCATCCAGTCTAATCCAACTGTGCTATATATACCTACGTTATAATTCACCTCTGCTCTAGGTGATGACAGCTGCATTCTCGTGCAGTCAAAATACCTCAGAAGTCTTCCAAAACTGTAACTTCCACTTTACAAAGCCTTTTCGTTAGAAATAACATAAGCTTACGCTTTAAGAAGCCTTCAAAAGATTTACTGGTTTAATATAGAGAAAAATAATTCACAAAGTTTTACATAATAGTTTGTTAGGAAACGTATTCAAGAAACATACTGAAGAAGCAATTACTGTCACATGTAAAATGGGAAACTGGTTTGCACTAGTACACTAGTATGCAAATCCAGTATGCATAGAAATTAGCATGCAAAGAAGTTACATGCACTGTGTGCATAAAAATCCACTCTACTTTTGTTTAGTGTAATACAATGCATCTTTTACAGGTCTTAAAAGAGAGTATCTTTCTATTTTCATTTGTAACACGTTTGTTACTTCTTTCCTCTCCTCCCTCTACGCCTGTATGTCTAGCACTATGATAAAACAAGTGGGTAAGCCTTATCACTTCTCCGCACTCCAAGATACACCACAAAGTTTGATGCCAGATTAATGAATAAACACTTCTGAAGATAACTATTTCTGAAAGCTTATTAAAAAACATTTATGATCTTTACTCTTAAGTTTAAGCACCCAGAAAATTCCTTTTAAATGTCTGATAAATATTAAGAAATTATTAAAAATTCACATCTTAAACTCATAAATTACTGATGCTTAATGTTTTGATTTTGTATATGTTATTTAATAAGTTTATTATTTAGAATAATTATTTAATATTGTTGAATGTTAAATTATTAAGTGTATGATTATATTAATTACATAAACAGAAAATGAATCCACGGGTTTTCTTAAAAATCCAATAAAGGAAAAATAAACCTTTCCTTTGATTGTTTAAAACCTCATGAAAGAGCATTTTTCTCAAATAATTTTTTATTTTTCTTCCCCCCCCCCGTTCTCAGGAATGCACTTGGTAGGCAGTCATTTAGCTGAAAGTGCTTTCAAAGGGATATAATAACAATAAAAGAAATTCTAGTACTACTTTCTCATTGAAGCCTAAGTCATGGCCCAAACTGAAGAGGCTAAACAGCAGCAGCATCTTTTTTAATGACCAACAAATAATATGGGCAAAGGATTTGGGAATAGATTCAGGGCTATTCATGGCCAGAAAATAAATTCCATTCTATAAAAATAGCTATTCGATCAATCAGCACATAAAAGCAGTTGAATTTGTGTTGGAAGACAACATTACCCAGAGATAAAAATATTGAGAACAAAGAAATGATAGTTCAAGGCAGACAGTGGTTCTTTAAAAGAAAGTGAAGGAGCAATACTGGAGGTAAAACCTAGAAAAGATGCAGTCAAAGACAAGGAAGAACAAGGTTTCAAGAAATTGAGAACGGTGTATAAAAGGCACTTAAAGATTAAAGGAGAATGAAGGAGACCTGTATTCAGCTACAAAGAAGTCTTAGAAACTTCAAGCAATAACATTCCCTTTGAAATCCATGACCAGTTAAAGAAAGGTCTAGATTAGACATATGTCTAGATTAGGAAGGTCTAGTCTAGAAGAGAAACTCTAACAATTACAGAGAGTGTATTTGACAAAAAGGAAGAAGAAAATGAGACTACAATTGACTCAAATGGAGCCACGTTTGGGTTATTACAAGAAAGCAAAGAGGCAGTCCTAAAACACACTTTCAATTGCAATAAGAAAAGAGCTAGACTAAAATAACAAATTAAGAAAAAGAATTAGCTTCTTGAACTTTTGCTGACAATAAGTATTTGTTATCTTATTTCATAGGCTGGCTCAGTTCTAGAAAAACAAGAAGTGTTGAAAATGTGTTATCACTTACTGTTTTTGTCCCATGTTGGAGTGTAATTTCATGAGAATCTGGAATTTTCTTGACAGGGTTCTGGAAAAAAAAAAAAAGGAAATCCACCTCTGTGAAAATAGTGCTATGACAAAAAAAAAAAACCAAAAAACAAAAAACCCAATACTGCAATATATATAAAAGTAAGAAAGGTTTCCCTCACAGCAACCATAACCTGAGGAGGAGAAAGCAGGGGGAAATCAGAAAAAAGAGACTAATTCCAGATTTTTATTTTCATGGATATACCACTAAAAATATGAGGAATAATTGTTAAAAAAAATATGAGACTGCCTTAATAAAGAACAAAAACAGGAAAAGATTTCCTGTTTTTCCTCTTTAGAAAACATGAAAATTCTCTTTTGTTCTTAACCACCAATATCTAACAATCTTGGCACTGTGATTTAATCAATTCATCATTATTACACAATGTCTTTTCAAATAAAGGACTCTCTGAAGTTAACAAAATTAATGAAAAAAATCTAGAAATTCATTACAGGAGCTAAGTTATCTATGTTGTTTATTAAGATCATGGACTGGCTTCCCACTTCCACTTGTGCCATTATCCCCAGCTCTCATCGGTCTTCACAACTGCCACTTCGATGGCAGCCATAACATAGTCAATGTAATTCAGGGAAATTCATTTAATAGCAACATACAGATTGAAAGCAATTACAGTTTAAAACATCTAACACACCACGCTAACATCTGTAACACAAATACGAAAATAGTTAATTTACACAGAAAGAAATGTACTGAAAGTACTCAAGTGATTACAAGATTCTAAAAAGGTCATTTGATTCATTATTCTCAAAATCCTTATTTGTCTGGGACTACTTATAGATATGCTACTAGATATTATGTACCAGACACAATCTATCATTTTGATGCCCAACATCTTTGTTACAATTTTCCGTTGCCAAAGTCTGATTTTAAAATAATTTTTAAGCACACTTCATATTATACATTATAGCTCTTTCCTTATCCATCTCTGCCAATTCCTTCCCTTTTTTTCCATACTTGCCACAGAAAGTCTGGTGGCATCAGGCTGATTTCCTTTATACTCATATTATCCTACAGTTCTATCAGCTTTATTTCTCCAATAAAACTGAAACTTTCATTATCTTTGGTTTAGCCAAACCTACCCTTCTTCCAACTTTACTTCTTGCCACTAACAACAGCTCTGATTCCCAAAAGAACTGTGTGATTTCTTTCCCTCTTCACACATATATACAGAGATAAGCCAGCAAAAGACTCGTGCCCTCTGTTTTCACATTCACAGCATATGCACATCTTCGATAGTCACAGGTGTTTGAAGGGGAACTTGAGTACTAGCATGGAAATCATATATGCACCTGAGCAAAAAAATATTTATGGGACTGTGGTCCATGCTAAGTTTGAAAAGGTAACTGTAAAGGTTTACAAATAGCTACACATGACGTTGTGAAAGGTATAGCCCACATGGCATGAAGAGACACTTCCACAGACTCAGTGGTTTACAAGTTGAGAAGCCGGTGTACCTCAAAATTCCCAAGTGAAGCTGTGATTATGAAAATGAGTTTATTGTTCAACTGACACTATAAAGCACCTGGACAAAGATATAATTATAATACAAATTAAGCTTTCCGTACCTCATCATTCCCTGCACTATAAATTGATATTTGCTGGTATTTCTTGGGATGCAAAAAACTGCTCAACAGCTGCTGCCTGTACTTGCCATCTAAGCACATTCCATAAAAACAGAAGTGTGAAAAGGAAACAAACAGCTTCCAAGATTCATACTGCCATCACCCACAACAAAAGACATACTACTTTCACAGAAACCATCCGTTGCTGGAAGGAGAAACAGCATTTTGGTCGTTCTCATATTAATCACTGCAAGGTTGCTTATTTTGTAATCCATTTATTGGAATGTTATAAGGTTGCTCATTTCATATACCACTCACATAAAAACATATTTGCTTTACAGTGCACTCCTGCT